AAATAATTGTTTATATTTTTTATCTGGGTTGTCACCACTATCATAGTTTGGTATTTCCATTTATCTAAAGAATATATAAATGAATATTGAAGAATACAAAAAACTTGTAAGAAATAAAATTGAAGCTGATGCGATGACTCAACAGGTGAGAGATGTTATAAAAACAACAAAATGGCAAAAACAAGATATGAGGGAGGGTTTTAAACAAACATTTAAACCACTTATTAAATCTCAAGATAGCATTAAAAAAAGTATTGATGATCAGCAAAACGCAATTATAGAACAACTTCAAGATAATCAACTTGCTCTTACACAAGGTCTTGATCAAAACAGACTTGCTATAACTGAAGGATTTGATAAAATGGATGAGGTAAAAAAATGGGATTTGGCTCAATTACCTGGTTTTGAAGCAATTGAAGACACACCTAAAGAAGATGATGGAGTTTTACCCTCTACATCAGATGATGGAGTTTTACCCTCTACATCAGATGAGGGGCCAAAAATAGCAAAATTTACTCCTAAAGACCTCAATAGATATTTAATTAATAAAGAATCACAAGATATACTTAAAACTAACGAATATTACAAACTACCTTCTGAGTATTTTAAAGAAGATGTTTCTACAGTTAGTAAAGTAATTGATGATGTTAACGAAGATCTAGAAGAGTTGAGTGCAAGATTAAAAAATACTGCAGATTTTGTACGAGACGCAAATGGTTATATTTTAGCTCAACCAAAAAGTAAAAACCCACGAGAAGAAACATTAGAATACATAAAAAATTTTAACATATTAAGCATATATGCAACAAATTTAAGTAATCTTAAGTATTTTAAAACAAAATCTGGCTCTGGTTTATTTCAACAGGGGGGTTTTGGGGGGTCGCAGTCCCCCCACATGATTTACTTTAACAACCCACATCAACTTCTAGACAGACTTGAATTACTCGGTGGTTCAATTCTTGCTGGTAATAATGGTGTGATACCTGAATTTTCTCAAATCGCACATCTTCTCAACCAAATGGGAGTTGTCTCAAAAAAACAACTGAATGATTTACTAAAAACTTATATATCTATTAAATAAATGGAAGAACGAGCTATCCACATTTCTTCAATAAATAGGGAAAAAAGAGGAACCAGCAAACCTGGTGATTTTACTATAAAGTTTAATCCAACTCTTAAACTTGACCCTGAAAAAAAACATCAACTTGCTCTTGATCGGCTGTCCATGACTTACTCTTGGTACAACATTAGAAGTGATTATGGAAACAATAAAATCAAATACACCCATGATGGAAGGACTTGGCAAACAATTACTTTTACAGATGGGATGTATTCTTACTCAGATATTAATGATTACATTCATCAATATATGACTCAAAAGACTCATCACACAACAGATTCCAAAGGTGAAAAGAAGTATTCAATCAATCTAACTTTTATACTATCAACCTATCGAGTGTTAGTATCAATTGAGGGTGATTATCAATTAGATCTGAGAGGAACAGAATTTGGAGACTTGATTGGATTTGAAAAAAAACTTATTACAAAAACTGAGTATGGAACAAAACTACCAAATATAACAAATTCTATTGATGTGTTAAATATTAACACAACAGCAATAACTAATAGTATTGTAAATGGAATAAATACAAATACCATTGCTGTAATACCAACTGATAATCTTACAAGGTCTTTTCCATTTACGTTTGAGCCTAAAAGACCATTGTATTGTGATGTCTCTTCATTTCACATTGATGAAATGAGAATCTATGTTACAGACTCACTTAGAAGACCAGTAAATTTTAACGGTATAGATTGGTTTATGACTTTGATACTTCACTCAATGTAATATAACTATTAAAATAAAATGATGCGACAATCAGAGTTTAAAATGAAACTTGACCCTGAATTGGGTCGATATACAAGACAACACATATATGGAGAAGGAATGATGGATGTGTTTAAATCGGTTGGTAAAAAAATATTTGGAAAAACAATGAAAAAAGCTGCTAAAAAAAGTGGTGAAAAAGTACTAACAATGGCTGCAACAAAAACTGGTGAACATGTTGGTAAAAAAGCTGGTGATGAAATAGTGCAAATGTTATCAAAAGGGGAGGTAAAATCCACCCGAAAACCCCCTGCAAAAAAAGTTACTTTTAATAAAAATGTAGAAACAATAACTCAAAAAGAAATAGATCAAACATTGAATAACCTTCTTAGTGGAGGCTCGACAAGAAGGAAAAAAATTATATAATTATTAAAATAAAATGAAGTCTTTTAGAAACCCAAAATATTTAGAAAGATATGAAGATGTTGTATTTGACCTGGAACAGACTTTAGTTACAAATATAGCAAATAACAGACATCAAGATAAAGAAGGTTTAAGATTTGTTGTTGATAATACAGGAGAAACTACTCCTTTTGATTGGTATAACGCAAGACTATCAATGGATTTTAAAGTAAATAAGCTAGCAGATGGAGGAAATATTGCGGTTGCTGACCATAATGGAATTGTAAATGGTAGTAACTCATTTATAGAAAGATTAAGTATTGAAGCAAATGGTAAACAAGTTTATAGTTGTAACTACGCAAATCATGTTGTAAATATTAAAAATTTGCTTGAGTATAATCCTTCATATGCACAGAGTGTTTCTACAAACGAATTTTATTTTCCTGATACATCAACAGCTGCAGAGGAAAGAGAATTTGAAGTTAGTGGCACAAATCAGTTAGCTAAAAGAAAAGCAACATATAACAAAGGCTTTGCTGTAAGAAAAGCTCTATTAGGTGCATCAGCCACAGTAAATTGCGAAATTCCTCTTAATAGATACTCCTTCTTTGAAGCATTGGAAGACAAGTTGCTTCCAAATACAAAAATTATGCTAAATATTGATATTGAAAAAGATGCAAATTTAATTTTTCAAGCAGCTGATAATTGTAGAGTTATTATAACAAGACTACAACTTTTTGTTCCAAAACTTACGTTTAATTCAGAAGGACAAAAGTTGTATATGCAAAATTATCTTAAACCTTACAAATGGACGTATTTGAATGAAGTAGTTGAAAGGTCAAATAATACACAGCAACAGACAGGACATTATAGAATTACAAATGCTATTTCAAAACCACGCCATGTTTTTGTTTTTGGAATTGATACAGCAAGAATTGATTCACAAACAGCAAATCCATTTTTATACGACACTTTTAATCTACCAAATAATGCGAATATAAGAGATTGTTACCTGGAAGTTGCCAATGGAAACGAATATCCTGATATTCACTTTAAACCTTCTACAGATTTGTCAAGAGTTTTTAGAAATGTAATGTCATACGTCTATGCAAATAATGATTATCAAGGTGGGACATTACTTAATATAAGTAATTTCAAAACTTTATTTCCTTTTGTTTATTTTGACCTGACAAAACAAAAAATGGATATCAAAGATGGTGCTACAAAATTAGCATTTCATTATGAATTAACTGCTAATCCAAACGCTGATTATAATATTTACGCATTAATCTTACATGAAAGAGTAGCAGAAATATCACAACAGGATGGAAAACTATTACTCAGAGCTTAATCTAAAAATAAAATAAAAATGGTAAAAAAACGAGCTAAAGACCGACTTGAGATTTTAAAAAAAGAAAATGCTAAGAAAGCAAAACAATTAAAGAAATTAAAACTACAAGACCGACTTGAGATTTTAAAAAAAGAAAATGCTAAGAAAGCAAAACAATTAAAGTCTTTGAAAAATAAAATTAATTTTGATAGCTTTGTTAAAAATACACTAAAAGAATTAAATAAACCTAAAAATAAACCTAAACCTAAGAAAAATATTAGTGACAATTGGTTTAATTTTATTTCAGAAATTAGAAAAAATTAATATACTCACTATTTACTCATTAAGTTTGTTACTTAATCCAACAAAAAAAATATTAATATAATTATTAAAATAAAAATGACTACTTACTTTGAATACGATGTAAAACTAACAGATGGGCAAAAGTCAAAATTGGCTTCTGCAATAAGAAATAAATCACCACTAACTCTTCGGTTAAAACACTCTCAGCTTAGAGGTTCTGATGAGTTAATGTTAACAAAAAGACAAATTTCTAAAATAAAAAAATCTATTGCAAATGGCACAGGATCAGATATAAAGATAAGTAAAACACAGATTAGACGTTCTGTAAAACATGGAGGAAATTTATTTTCATCACTAGCATCTCTTGGAGCAAAAGTTCTTCCATATGCTATTAAAGGAGTATCAAAAGTTGTTCCTGCATTGGCTACTGGTGCTGCAACCGCACTTGGTGAAATTGGTTTAAATAAAATATTTGGAAAAGGAATCACAATTCCCCCGCAGTTTTTCCCAATGCTACCACCTCTTGTAAGAGAATTTACCAAATCACAAATAAATCAAATTAACAAAGCTTATCAAACAGGAGGGCGATTAGTTATAAAACCAACTCGTAAACAGATAGAAGGAGGGTTTCTTGGAACTCTTGCATCTATTGGAATCCCAATGGCAATTAGTTTAGTATCTAAAATGTTTGGATCTGGACTTCAGGTTGATAGAAGTGAATCATCTAACACAGCAAATGTATACGTTCCACATCCTCCTCCCCCACCAACACATGGTGAAGGTTATCCTTATTACCCACCACCTTTTATTGGTACATGGAACAATCCAATTGGAATGGGGGTTAAAAAAAAAAAGACCAAATCCAAGGGTTCAGGACAGCCCGCAGGGGCGGGACTACTACTAGGAAAAAACAGCCCATTCAACTCAATCCCCATTCTCGGCACCATTTTGTAATTAAACCTCTATCCAACTTTGACCTTNTAAGAGAATTTACCAAATCACAAATAAATCAAATTAACAAAGCTTATCAAACAGGAGGGCGATTAGTTATAAAACCAACTCGTAAACAGATAGAAGGAGGGTTTCTTGGAACTCTTGCATCTATTGGAATCCCAATGGCAATTAGTTTAGTATCTAAAATGTTTGGATCTGGACTTCAGGTTGATAGAAGTGAATCATCTAACACAGCAAATGTATACGTTCCACATCCTCCTCCCCCACCAACACATGGTGAAGGTTATCCTTATTACCCACCACCTTTTATTGGTACATGGAACAATCCAATTGGAATGGGGGTTAAAAAAAAAAAGACCAAATCCAAGGGTTCAGGACAGCCCGCAGGGGCGGGACTACTACTAGGAAAAAACAGCCCATTCAACTCAATCCCCATTCTCGGCACCATTTTGTAATTAAACCTCTATCCAACTTTGACCTTATGGAATGGGTAAAAAGACTTGGTATTAAACATTTTAGAGGAATATATAGTCGCGATAGACTACCTAATAAGATAAAAAAAGAATGTGGAATAATTAATTTAGATGATATTCAAGGTCCTGGAACACACTGGGTTTGTTATAGAAATATAGATGGGGGGAGTGCCTCCCCCCAAAACCCCCCTGCTGCTTGGAGTGGTGTGGTTGAGTACTTCGATCCTTTTGGGTTGATAATGCCAAATGAAGCATTAAAGTATTTTCATACTTCTGGAAAACGTATAGTTTACTCAACGGATGAAATACAAAATCGTAGTACTGTTCTCTGTGGTTATTGGTGTTTATATTATCTCTACGAGAGACAGCGGGGTAGTAGTATTTTAGATGTAATACATAATCCACATTTTGATAATGACAACAGTGATTTTATAAAGGCATACTTTGGGGGGTAGTATATGTATTACTCTGTGTTAATCTGGTTTCAATATTAAAATAAATATTGAAACTAATCTAAAAACTTGAATGTATATTTTTTTCCATCTTTATTAGTTGTTAATTTACGTTTTTTTCTACAAATTTTTGAAATCAAAGAAGAATCAATAACTAATTCAATTGAAGCTTTTTTAATAGAATCAAATCTTCTTTTCTCTCCTGTTTCAATATTTATAGAAATAATTGATTTACTTACTGATTTTTGTACGTTTTGTTTTGGAGTAAGTAATTGTAAGTTTTTTATTCTGTTGTCAGTTTTATCCCCATTTATATGATCCGTTTCTAAACATTTTGGAATTGGTCCTCTAAAAACCTCATATACAAATCTATGATGAGAATATGTATAAGGTTTTTCAAGTTTTTCACTATAAATGTTAAATTTCAAATAACCATTAGCACATTTACTAGTTTTAATAATTCTTCCAGTTTTTACATTTATTACTTCTCCATTTTTAGAAGCTCCATAATTACTAAACACTGGATGTTTATAGTATTTTAAACCATCAAATACTACTCTTTGTTTTATTCTTGAATCAATTATTCTATAGTATCCATATTTTCGAATTGAAGGAAGAACTTTAGTAAAAACCCATTCACGAAATATTATTGCACTTGGTAATCTAGATCTAAAAACAAGTTCATAGAAACCGGGTTCATCAACAAATATAATCCATCTACCTTGGACCTGACCGCCCGTTTCAGGCGGGCAGCTTTTTTTATCTTTAATTACCTGACCCCCTGAAACGGGGTGACAGCTCAAAAGAAAAGTTTTTTTGTGATTTTTACTTACATGTCTATTTATAGCATTTTCTGTTTTTTTATAACCAAGAATTTGAGCTACCTCTTTAGCTTTGAACCAAATCCTTAGTCTTTTATCAATAAATGAATTTATCTCAATTCCTAAATCTTTATTAGTAAACTTCTTCTCCAACATGTTTGTTATTTATATAATAATTATATTCTTTAAATTAGTTTTATTCACTATCATCTGGCAAATTCTTTAGTTGCTTAACTCTCTCAACTTTTTTATTTAAATCTTTAACACTATCAACTATTTCACTAAATTGAGAATAAATGTCAATAAGACGAAAAAGTTTATTCTTTTTATCACTATCTATTTTCAACCAAGAATATTCCTCATTTTGAATTTTCCCCCACATCTCACATTCACCAGCCATTAGTATTCTAGAAAGATCATCATTACTTTTTCTAAGAGTTTCAAACTCATTTACTATTTTTTTTCTTAATTCTTTCTCAAAATCTTTGAGTGTTTTAACATCAATCGTTTTTTCTATCTCAGAAAAGAATTTGGCTTCCATTTATTATATAAATAGATAATTACCTTTTACAACTTTGTTGAGAGTACTTGATTTCTCACTTATTTCCATCAGCAACTCAAATACTTTTATAAATCTATTGTCATTTTCCAATCTAGCAAAATCAGCATATTCATAACTCATGTTTAGGTTGTTATATATCTTTTGAAGTTCACTTTTTAAAAAATTAGATCTAGTAGACATACTTCGTAGATGTATTTTATCTAAACATTATATTAAATGAAAGAATCATATTGCATTGTAGATAAAAGAGTAACTCCTTGCACAGAGCCAAGTGGTTACCAAACTGATAAAAGAGGTAGAACTCAATTCTATTGCAGATGTGCAGTTTGTGGAAATAAAAAAGTTAGATATGTGAAAACTGGAACAGCTTCTCAAAGTGGAAGTGGAAAAAAGAGAAAAAGAAAGTCAAAAAACTAATCAGCCCGTCAGTGATGGCGGGCAAAGGTGTTTCTGATGCTTTTGGACCAATCAAAACAGGAATAAATGTAGGACAAAAAATTTCAGAAACCTTGTTTCCTCAAACAAAGCAAACATTCAAAGATTATTGGTCTGGTGATATTGCTAGAGGTGTTGTTAATTCAGAAGATGGCATATTTACTTCCAATTTCTGGACGGGTAAAACAACTGTCTTTCGTTACGGTGGTAAAAAATTTTATCTCAAAAAAGGTAATCCCATAATGGTTGTCAAGAAAAATGGCAAACAAATTGGATATGCTCATGTAAAAGATTTTTTTAATGATGGTCTAGGAACCAACAAAATATACAAATCTTTAGCGGAAGTTAAAAATAAATATGGTTCAGGTCTTTTTGATACTGTTGTTGGTACAGCAGTTGACGGATTTGTTCATTATGGTTTACCTTGGATGGGTAAAAAAGCAGTTGAAATGGGGCGATATGGAGCAAGTGAGTTAATGAGAAATAAAAATCTTCAGAAAAAAGCTGTAAATTATGGGATTAGTAAACTCACTCCATTTATTCAAGATTCCGTTGGAACAGCTATGAACCAGCTGTCAACCAAAGTTAGACCAAATAAAAAGTATAAAACTGATAGACCAGAGTTGGACCGAAGGAGTGGAAGAGGAATAGATATTCACAATGCTATTCTCAAAGTAGCACCTAGTAAAGGTTTTGTTTTACCAGGTCATAATTATACTGGCCCTGGTAATCCTCTTCATAAACAACTACGACACGATGATGAAGGTAATATATTAGAAATCTACCAACAACCAACAGGACCAACTGATGCGGTTAGTATGCAACATGATGTGGATTACACAGTTTGTGGAAATAAACCAAAAAGTGAACAAGTAAAATGTAAAAATGAAGCTGATAAAAAAATGGTAAAATCCCTGGATGCAATTCCTTTGAAAAAAAGACAATGGGGGCATGCTATGGCTAGAACTATGATAAATACAAAACAAAAACTTGGAATGGGTTTAAACGCGAGTCGGCGTTGAGTAGTGATTGGTCTCAACAATTAGCCGACGAACTTCACAAACCAATCACAAGAAACTTTCAAAAGAGATCAGTAATCTCAAACGGGATTGATGATATCTGGGCTGCTGATTTAGTTGAAATGCAAAAGTTTAGTAAATGGAATAAAGGGATTAAATATCTTCTTATGGTTATTGATGTGTTTAGCAAGTATGGATGGATTAAGGGATTGAAAGATAAAAAAACTGAAACTGTTAGTAAAGCATTTGAGGAAATATTCAAAAGTAAACGTAAACCTCAAATGTTATGGACAGATAAAGGTTCTGAGTTTATAAGTAAACATTTCAAAGATTTTCTTAAAAGAGAGGGAATTAGGTTGTATCACACTGAAAACGAAGAAAAATCTAGTGTTGTTGAGCGATGGAATAAAACAATGAAAAACAGAATGTGGAAAATGTTTACTGTGAATAACAACACTGTTTACTGGAATAAGTTAGATAAACTAGTTAATGATTACAATAATACGAGACATTCTAGTATAAAAATGACTCCTGTTGAAGCAAGTAAAAAGAAAAATAAAAGTAAAGTTTGGAATAATTTGTATGGTGATTTAATTTACTTGAAACCTGGTAAATCAAAATTTGTGGTTGGTGATCGTGTTAGAATTTCTAAGTATAAGAAAAAGGTATTTGATAAAGGTTACACACCAAACTGGACAGAGGAAATATTTGTAATTGATAAAGTTAATCCAACAAAACCTATTACATATTCTATTATTGATTTGATGGGAGAAGAGATTAAAGGTTCTTTCTACGATCAAGAACTACAGAAAGCAAAACAACAAACATTTAGAATAGAAAAAATTATCAGAAAAGATAATAAGAAAAAAATGGCATTAGTAAAATGGAGTGGATATCCTGATAAATTTAACTCATGGGTAAGTTTAAAGGATTTGGTTGATTTTTAATACAAAATTTGTATTAAAAATAAAATCCAATTATTTACTCATCTTCTTCATCAGATAAAATTAAGTCTTCAGCTTCTTGATTAGGCATCTCTTCACCCTCACTCTCCTCCTCCTCTTCAATCGTTAGTAAAGATTCTCTAGGTTTTAATGGTATGATATAGCACTCATGTACTTTTATTTGTAAAGATGTTACATTATTACTTATAAATATTCCTTCGATTATTAGTGCCATCTTAACATTGCAATATTGATTAATATATTTGAAAGGATTTAAATCCTTCTTTCCTTTTGTTCTAAATAGTGAAAGAATTTTCTTTGATTTCTCAGAGTAAATAAGTTTTGCATAAAGAACTGGTGAAGATGTTAAATCAACTTTTGTTCTCTTTTTTCCTTTCTTGTCTATATATTCTTCCTTTTTGTAATAAAATGGTGAAGGTAGAGATGATGCTAAATCTACTCCATATTCATTTTCTAGATGTTTCTGAGATGCAGTTGTTATATTATTAATAAAATCAAAAAATGCTTTTTCTTTACTACTCGGTTCACTATCTTTAGCCCAAAGACATACTGGAATACTATAACCTACTAACTTACCTGTTTCTTGATTTTTCTTTTCATTAACACCAAAACTAAAAAGAACTGGAGTTTCTATTACNAATGCTTTTTCTTTACTACTCGGTTCACTATCTTTAGCCCAAAGACATACTGGAATACTATAACCTACTAACTTACCTGTTTCTTGATTTTTCTTTTCATTAACACCAAAACTAAAAAGAACTGGAGTTTCTATTACGAGTGGTCCTTTTTTGTTATTTGGGTACTTGACTTCAATTGGAATACGTTTGTATTTGATCTTACTGTTTTTTACTTTAAACTCTTTGGCTTCATTAAAGATAATATTCTCTTGGTTAATATTTTCGTAGTTGGTGAGTTGCATTTTTTATTTAATGTTTAGATAATATTTAAATCATAAATCAATTTTATTTTTTCTGCAGCAAGCTTTTTAGCTTTTCTGGGCAAACTCTTAAACACTCGTCTTTTAATAATAATTTTTTCATTTGGAACATAATCTAAATCCTCGTCATGTCTATATCCATCATCAACTATAAAATCCAAATCCTCTTTTTTAGGAGTAGTCTCTCTTGACCTTGGTTCCATTTTTTATTAATTATTTATATTAATTTTATAACAAAAAAATGTTATAAAATTTTACTAAACACTATCATTCATTTCATTTATTCTTTCCTCTAATTCAAGTATTCCTTCAACAAGTACTTTATCTTCAATAAACAAACCAAGGTCATAAAACAACCCCCTAATAATTATCTTATTTTTTTTTATCATCAAATCAATAAAATACCAATCAACAATCTTAAGATTATCCTTTGTTGGATTAAGAAAATATTTAATTGTAAAATTTACTAGATTAAGCAAATAATCACAAATAATATTTTTTTCCATTTTTTTAATATCTTCAATATATTTTATATAATTATTCAAATCCTGAAATTTTTTTATAAAGGGTTGTGAACCCTGAAAACCATTTGCTTGATTGGACATTTTGTCCTGTAATAAAAATTATTACAGTACATAAACTTTACTAGTCACTTTCACTTTCACTCTCATCACTTTCACTTTCACTTTCCTCACTTTCACTTTCACTTTCCTCACTTTCACTTTCACTATCACTCTCAATTTCTAAATTATCAAAATTACTATATAAATCATCTTCAAAATCTTCTTCATTTTTAATTTTACACATATTAGTAAACATTATTAAATTCTCAAATAAATATTGAAAATCTTCATCAAAATTATAAACAAGTGGGAAACGAAAACCCATATTTGTATAAATACAAATTCTTAACACAATTATTTTTTCAACATCACTTAATTTAAACTTTAATTCTCTTATAGTTTTAAGTTTACCCAGTCTCTCCAATGACAAAACTTTTCTAAAATCTCTAACAAGTGATTTTGCTCCTGGAGATGAAATAACTTTTTCATAATCAGTGATATTTTCAAGCTTGGCTAAAATTTTACCAGCTGTCCTATTTATCCCATTTATGAAAAGCCATTCTTTTTTGTAGTTCCTGGCATATTCAGGGATTTTATTATTAGAATTACTGGTATTATTATTAATTTCTGAGGTGTTTACTTGACACATGGTATTTTCATGTGTC